ACAGCTTCTTTCCAATATTGTGCCTCTGAGGAAGACATTGCTTCCTTGAAGGTACGAGGCTCATTTTCTAACAAAAAAGTCAGAAAATCTGGACCAAATGAAGTAGATGTCCTTTGACGTTTACTTCTTCTCGGATTTTCTTCATTAGGCATACCATTTATTATTTACTCCCGAGGTCATTTTGACTTTTGGTAGGTCACTTCACTTTCCTTTTTATACGGATAAATAGTTTCAAAGAATTCAGCATTATCTGATTCTATTATCGTATTAAGGTGAATCTCTGGATTTTCTGATTTATGAACCAAAAACCGATATGCCTTGCTATTGGTTACATATCCAATAAACACACAATCAACCGTTTTTGGGCCTATCTTAACCCTTTTAGGTTTAGGAACTTGTACCTTAGCTAAACACCCCCACACTTTGAAGTATTTCAAGCTAGGCTTCCTTCCTTTCCACTTCTCATAAGGAATGGATTGTGTTTTACTATGAGGTACACGGTTGATTATTCGGTTAGCTGTAAGTATAGCTTCCCCCCACAAGTTTTGTGGTAAGCCAGAACTTATCAGCAACGCATTCATCATCTCCTTCAATGTTCGATTCTTTCTCTCCGCAATTCCGTTAGATTGTGGAGAGTAAAGGGCAGTTGTTTGGTGAATAATGCCATTTTCCAAACATATTTCTTCAAAAGGAGATTCATATTCGCCACCCCTATCACTTTTTATCATTTTGATCTTTTTGTTTAGTTGGGTTTCAACTTCACTCTTGTATTGCTTGAAAGCATCAATTGCCTCATCTTTACTATTAAGTAAATAAACATAGCAATATCTCGTGCTATCGTCAATAAAAGTAATAAAATACTTTTTCCACCGCGAGATGGTGTTGACTTCATGTCACAAATATCTGTGTGAATTAAGTCTAAAGGACTTGAATTCCTTTCAACGGACTTATAAGGATGCTTAGCATACTTTGATTCCACACATATTTGACATTTGGAATAATGCAATCAAATTTTGGCAATACTTCTAAGTTTATCATCTTTCGTAATGTTTTGAAGTTGACGTGTCCTAAACGCGAATGCCATAAAGTGTTTGACTCAAGTAAGTAAGAAGAAGCATTCACTTTATTGATAGGAACTGCTATTACATTTAGCTTAAAAAGGCCCTCATTCAGGTAACCTTTTCCTACATACAAATCGTTCTTACTTAGTACAACACTATTAGAAACAAAAATACATTTGAATCCATTCTTGACAAGAAGTGAGGTAGACACAAGATTCTTGCGAATTTCTGGAACGTGGAGGACTTGGTTTAGAGTCACTATTTTTCCCGACATCATCTTCAACGCAATCTTGCCAACTCCTTCAATTTTGGCCGTAGATGAATTTCCCATAAAGATTGTCTCGTCGGGTCCTGCGGGGGCATAAGAAGAAAATAACTCCTTGTTAGCACAAACATGGCGGGTAGCTCCAGAATCTATCCACCATTCTTTAGGATTTCCTACCAAGTTGCATTCAGACAACATGACACACAAGTCCTCCATGTCTTCAACATTTTCAACCATGTTTGCTTGATTTTTCTTCTTCTTTTTCTTTTGTACATCATTCTTTGGTGCACGACAATCCACGGCCTTATGCCCAGATTTTCCACAGTTGTGGCAATTACCCTTGAACTTTTTCTTGCTTGGGTAATTCTTTTGTCCAGAAGCCTTCTTTATTCCGGAAAACTTTCCGGGTTTTTCTGCTGGTGCCATAGCAGGAGCAGGAGTTGAACGGCTTGACGAGGCAGCCACATTTTTAACAGTAGCACCCCTTCCCGCAACATTTCCATTAGTTTGGTTTTCATTCGTCATTTTTTTCTGTAAAGTTGGAAACAAAACAGAACTTGGTTAAATCAGTGAAGTTTTGATATCTTCAAACTGAATACCAAACCAAACATACAACACGTAACAATGGTGAAGTTTTTATATACTTCAAACCCGTACGTTTATTATTCCGGTAAAGTTTTTATATACTTTAAACTGGACAACCCGTACGTTTTATTATTCCGGTAAAGTTTTTATATACTTTAGAACGGACAGAACAATTATTGGAGTAGAAAGCACGAAGGTTTTAGTCTCCAAAACAGTATACAAAATATGAATAACAATTTAATATATATTTCAACACAGAAACGTTAGTCTGAAATTCCTTAAGCTTGTGAGCGTTACTGTGTTAAACCAAAAAACTAGAAAAAACTATTAGGAGAATTAAAGAAATCTGGAAAATAGTAGAGAATCAGAAATATTCCGAGTCCACAAGTTTCTTGTGTGTCCTTAAGGAATTTTAACCCCTTCACACGTTGCCAAGGTAATGGATTAAATCCTCCTAGGATAAAACGGAATAAACCTTCCTGCAACAGTGGCAATACAAACTGCAGGATACCAACGAACTCAAAGAACGGAGCAAAATCACACTTACGAATTTGAGAGAGAGACTGCGAATTAGGATGCAGTATATTCAGAAAGAAAGAAGTTCTGGAGTGTTTTTCATGTATAGAAAATGGAGCCTTGCCTCAGAATTTATAGGCAATTATCAGAAGAGGTGTCTGGAAAAGGTGCCTTTTCAAAAGAATACGCTGCCTGCCGCGGTTTTACCACGGTCACGGGAGATCCGCGGTCAGAGAGGCTTTCTGAACCTGCCTGCTGCGGTTCTACCGTGGTCGCGGCAGAACCGCGGCCAGAGAGGCCCTCTGAACCTTCAGCAGGACAAAATGGAAAGAAGAAGTTAGATATCATCTGCTGTTTACTGAAAAATTTGGCAAATTCATCAGCATAATCAATTACCGTAGCATGAATATCAAGGAGCTTTCCGAAAACACAAGTTAAATGGAAACAAAAATTGAATATACTTGTGCGTGCACTAGCATATACATGCATTTTGAGCAACTTACCCTGCTAAATCATGGGCAAATATTTAAAGCAAGTTTGCCTTAGTGAGACCCTCCAACATGGTCAAAGCAAGCAGTGCTCCCACACTTCATTTACACTGTAACACTGTTGAAATGCTTTGTTACCATTCGTAATGATTGGTTAATCAGCAAACTACTGTTCGGAAAATATTGCAAAAAAAAAAAAAAAAAAATTCTCAGGCATTATCTTTATAAGAGAGCGACTTAGTAATATGACTTAGAACTCTTATATCACATTAGAGCTGGATCTAAGCATAATATCAAGGGGCTTATCAGTTAAACAAACAAGAAACTACAAAAACATTGTGCTTCCGACAATGAACATTGTACTCTTGGAAGCTCTTGTAAATAAAAATGCTTTATTGGAATAGCTAGCTGATCTAGTAGGTTGGTGGATGGTTATCAGTATGGAAATCTACTCTAGATATGTGTTGATCAACATCAACTCATTGCACGTCTATATCACAGTGCCATATTTTCAGGTGACAGTGGGGCGTAAGCCAGTGACAGGGCTCAGGCTCAGCCTAGAAGGTAGCAAGCAGAACCGTCTTTCAGTCAATTTGCAGCACCTCGTTTCCCTTCCTAAGATCCTCCAACCCCACTGGGACACACACATGGCTATAGGTGCACCAAAATGGAAAGGTCCCGAGGAGCAGGATAGCAGATGGTTTGAACCAATCAAGTGGAAAAATTTCTCCCACGTAAGCACAGCACCAATTGAACACACTGAAACTTCCATTGGAGATCTTTCTGGTGTTCACATTGTGACGGGGGCTCAGCTTGGTGTTTGGGATTTTGGTGCCAAGAGTGTCTTGCATTTGAAACTCCTCTTTTCCAAGGTACCTGGCTGTACTATAAGAAGATCAGTATGGGATCATAGTCCATCAAACCTATCAGCAGTACAAAGGATTGATGGTTCTTCAACATCACTTCTGAACGAAAAAACTGCTGAAAACAAGAAAGGCGATAGTTCCAGCCAAATGGGGAAATTGGCGAAAATTGTAGACATGACAGAAATGTCAAAAGGGCCACAGGATGCACCAGGGCACTGGTTGGTAACAGGAGCTAAACTTGGGGTTGATAAAGGAAAAATTGTGCTAAGAGTGAAGTATTCCCTGTTGAATTACTAATGAGCTGTGTTTGTGTTAAATATATGCAGCATCAAAGCATTCTTTTGATAGTCTAGATATCATGTTATTTTTCTGTAAATTCTGTCGGCATTGGTTATTCATTTTTTGTTAAGCTATTTTCTAGCCACCAGATCAGTTACTCCTTTTGGGTGTATACTTTGTAAAATTTTCATGATTTTACAAACTTGTTCAAAAATCTTTTTCTTTTCACTTTCCTTGGATCAATAACATTGATTTTAATGATTTTTATTTGTTGGATGAGTTGTGGTTGAAATGTGAAATTGACGTGTCCTTTTGATAATTCAAGTAGTTCTCCTTTTATTCCACTATAGAACAAAGGAGGAGAAAGAATGCTGGTGTGCATCTGGTGCAATACCAAGAAAGAAAAAAGAACCATTGTGATGCTGCGGGAATTAGAGAAATAAACGAGAGAACAAAAGGCTAGGAAAAAAAATACATGATTAAAATGAAAAATCATTTTATATAATTATATGACAAGGATTTTATTGAGTATAGTTATTGTTATATATTCATTATTGCATTGTATAATGTAATCTTTAGTAGCTTAGTCAAATGACTCAATGAGTAATTAGCTTAGTCAATATGTATATATACTTGTATATTTAGTGAAATCAGTGTTGAGTTCTCATTACAGAAAATATGTCAGTCTCTCCATTCTCTCTATCTCTTGCTCTCTTTCTTCTCCTTTCTCAGAACGTTCTAGTAGACTCCATGGGAGCTCTGTTAATCTGAGCTTGCATGCATTCTTGTTATGGTATCAGAGCTTGGACATCAACTCGGATTCCTTCGGCATCTCCAACTCTCGTTCTAAATTTCATTTAGTTTCGTCAATTTCTAGGGTTTTGGCCATTGCCGCCCAACTCTGAAAATCATCTCACAAATTGAAGGTCTTAGACCTGGTTGAAGACTTCATACTTCTCAATTTCATCGAATCGGAACCTCGCACATGGCTAACAACCAAACTAAAAAGACGACTTCTAGCACGAGCAGAAATGACCAATTGGTCATCGATACAGGTAATCCCTCTACATTCATCCTTCGGATAGTCTTGGAATGACCTTAGTACTAGTTCCGTTCGACGGAATTGGATATTGTTCCTGGAGAAGAAGCGTGTTGCGAGCTCTGTCAGTTAAGAACAAATTAGGGTTTATTAATGGGGAATCTAGAAGACCTAGCCCCGATTTGCCTCAATTCCGCCAATGGGAGAGGTGTGATGATATGGTAACCTCGTGGATCCTCAATTCCCTTGCTAAGGAAATCTATGACAGTGGAGTAAGTAGATGACTCAGTCGAGTTATGGAGGGAATTAGAGGATCGTTACAACCAAACAAATGGGGCAAAATTGTATCAGATTCAGAAAGAGATTAATGACCTCGCACAGGGATCCTTAGACATTACCACATACTATACATGAATGAAGAGATTGTGGGAGGAATTGAACACCTTGAGTGTCAAATCTCAGTGCAGCTGCAATTGCACATGTGGAGCAAAAGAAACTATGCATAAGGCAGAACAGGATCGACGGCTTATCCAATTTTTAATGGGATTGAATGGGGTCTATACAATAGTACGAGGAAGCATTCTTATGATGAAGCCTTTGCCCTCTATGGCACAGGCTTTCTCTCTACTAATACAAGAAGAAAAACAAAGGGAATTCAAGCCTAATAGTCAACTCAGTCTAGATTCTACTTCACTGCATGTAAATGCAAGTCCACAGCATCAAAATCCATTTGGAGCCAGGAACTTCAAGACACATTACACAGCCAACAACAATAATAAGGGTCGTCCATTCTGTGACTATTGCAAAAGACCAGGACATACAAGGTAGAAGTGCTACAAGTTACATGGATACCCTCAAGGCAGTTCTTACAATAACTAAAACTTCAAGTGCCAATGCTCAGCCCTATAATCAGGGGAACAACCAGAACCACAAGTTCAACGGAGGAAAAGGATCTGTGGCAAATGTACATGGGACCCCAGCTGATATGATTCAAGAAAATGGAGATGAAAAGGACCTGCAAGATGAAAATCAGAATGTCAATCTAACAAAAGAGCAATATAGGCAGATAATGAACTTGCTGCATCACTTTAAAGTAGGATATGCAGGAGGATCTTCCAGCAATAGCAATGTCACCAGTGGTAGTGCCAACTTTGCAGGTATTCTTGTTTGTACTTCTTCTATTGATTTTGACAAACCTTCATGCAAATGTTTTGAATCAAAGGCTGATCTTTGGATCATACACTCAGGAGCATCTAACCATATGACCATTAACAAACATGCACTCACTAACATCACTAATTACCCTATCCTCTACTAATAAGTCTACCAAATGGATATAGAGTAAAAGTTCTTGAATTTGGAGATGTGATACTCTCTTCAGACATTGTCCTACATAGGGTCCTTCATGTTCCATCATTCAAGTATAACTTGATTTCTGTTCATCCCTTGCAGTACACCTTAGATGTATTGTATTTTTCAGTGATACACTTTGTCTATTGCAGGCCCCTTCAGTGAAGAGGCCTCAGGTGATTGGTAGTAGAAAAGAAGGTCTGTACTATCTCTGTTCCAGATCTTTGAAGGCTAAAAGGACTATTTTACCTTCTATTGTTTCAGCTTCCTACTGCAATTGTATTCTTACTCCCACTGTAAATGGTCATGAGTCTGTTAGTCATACTCATTCATATCACACTCCTTAATCTGTAAATACTTCCATTTCAAGTAATAATGATGTGTCTTCATATATATTTGATAAGCATGATATAAATTCTCTGTGGCACAATAGGCTTGGTCATGTTCCTTGTGTTAAAATGAGAGGAATATCCTCAATTCCTGCAAAGTTTGCACCAAGACAACCATTTATTTGCCCTATATGCCCTATGGCAAGACAAACCAGACTCCCATTTCCTCAAAGAACTAGCACCACCTCCAAATTATTTGAATTAGTACACATAAATATATGGGGCCTTTACCATGTAACCACCCAAAATAACTACAAATATTTTCTCACACTAGTGGATGACTTCATCAGATCCAATTGGACTCACCTATTGAGCTGCAAAAGTAATGCTCTTCAGGCTTTAAAGGCCTTTGTGGCTATGATTGAAAATCAATTCAATACATCCATAAAAACCATTAGATCTAATAATGGCTTGGAGTTTACTAGCCATGAAGCCTCTTCATTCTACCAATCTAAAGGGATCATACATAAAAAAATATGTCCCTATACACCACAGAAGAACGGTGTAGTAGAGAGAAAACATAAATATCTTCTTGAAACTTCCAGGGCACTCATGTTCCAGTCCAAACTCCCAATCAAATATTGGGGAGAGTGCATCCTAACAGCCACCTATTTGATAAATAGGCTGCCAACCACTTACCTCAACAACAAAATGTCCCTTTGAGTTGTTATACACAAGAAACACAATTACTCTCACTTGAGAAGCTTTGGCTGTCTCTGCTACCCCACTGTACCCAAGACACACAAAGAAAAATTTGAACCAAGAGATGCAATCTTTCATGAAAATGTTTTCTCATTCTCCTTAAGTTCTAAAAATACTTCCTTTCCTGCTGTTCTTAAGACAGTCTCATTTCCTAACTATGCTGAAGACATAGTCATGTTTCCCCTTTGAACATTGGGCAAAGTCATGTTTCCAGAAATAGAACACCACTCTGAGACACTTACCAATAATACACCCTCTCCAAATACCTTTGATCCTTCATCTCCAAATGATAACAATTTACAGACTTTATCTACACATGTCCAGTCAGAAGCACCAATTTTAAGGAAATCCAATATAAGTCATCAGGCTCCTGTCTGCTTAAAATATTATGTTTACCAACTGCCCATAGTACTGCTCAACTGTCCTCTACTCCTCATTGCACCCCTTCACTAAATGCCCTATTTTCTAATCATCATCATATCACTCCTGATGCTCTATTTTTTGAAAGTCAGCACTTGGTGTTAAATGTTTGCCATGATAGTGAGCCATCTTCATATGAAGAGGCAACCCTCAATCCTGCTTGGCAAGCAGTCATGACATAGGAATTTGAGGCACTTCATGCCAACCATACTTGGAATTTGGTCCCCTTACCAGCTGGAAAACTAGCAATAGGTTGTAAGTAGGTATACAAGGTTAAAAATAAAGCAGATGGGAGCACTGAAAGGTTCAAAGCTAGGTTGGTAGTAAAGGGTTATACTCAACAGGTTGGGATTGATTATATAGAAACCTTCTCCCCTGTTGTGAAAATGACAACTGTTAGAGTCCTAGTTACAGTGGCTATTAAGAAGGGCTTGGACATATTCCAATTGGATGTGAACAATGCCTTTCTCCATGGAGACCTACATGAGGAGGTATATATGGAGGCTCCTCCTGGACTTGTAGTTGATCAATGCAGTCCAAGTAGAGTGGTATGCAGGCTGAACAAGTCACTATATGGACTGAAACAAGCCAGCAGACAATAATATGCCAAATTAACTGAGACACTATCTTTAAAAGGATACCAACACTCTGAAAATGATCACTCCCTTTTCTGCAAGAAAAATTCCTCATCCATCATCTTTTTGGCTGTATATGTTGATGATGTTATAATCACTGGGATTGACTCAGAAGAGATTGCAAGCTTGAAGGCCTTCCTGGATCAAAAGTTCAGAATAAAGGATATGGGTAGACTTCATTATTTCTTGGGTCTAGAGGTCTTATACAAACCAAATGGTATTCTTATTTCTCAAAGGAAGTTTGATTTGGACTTATTGAAAGAATACCAATGTTTTGACTACAGCAATGTCTCCTTACCTCTTGATCCTACTGTGAAGCTGAAAGCACAAGAGGGTAATCTCCTACCAGACCCCACATACTACAGAAAATTAGTGGGAAAGCTCATCTTTCTCATCGATACTAGGCTGGATATAGCCTATAGTGTGCAGCCATCCATTTGACTGCAACATTTCACCTTCTTAGATATCTCAAAAAGGATCCTACCTTGGGTGTTTTCTTCTCCAACAATCCCGATTGTTCAATCAAGTCGTATTGTGACTCAGACTGGGCAGCTTGCCTAGACTCTAGGAGATCTGTTAGTGGGTACATTATTTTAGTAGGAGACAACCCTATTAGCTGGAAGTCCAAGAAGCAGGAGACTATTTCCTTGTCCTCAGCTGAAGCAGAATACAGATCCCTCAGGAAAGTAGTTGGGGAGTTGGTGTGGTTGAGCAGACTATTTGCAGAACTTACTATTGCCCAA